GGGGAGAAAGGATAATGTTAGTAAGAAAGGTAATCCACCACGCTTGGCCTCCCCAAGTGCTGATATTACAGGCATGAGCCACTGTGCCTGGCCACAGTTATGATTTAATACTGCATCTTCATGTTTGTTTATATTTCTCTTGACTGCTAATGGTGACATATACAGTCTGTGTTTGCTTAAGTTTTGATAAGTTTTGTTTTTTTTTGAGATGAAGTTCTGCTGTTTCACCCAGGCTGGAGTGCAGTGGTGCAATCTTGGCTTACTGCAAACTCTGTCTTCCAGTTTCAAGTGATTCTCCTGCCACAGCCTCCCGAGTAGTTGGGATTACAGCCACCTGCCACCATGCCTGGCAAATTTTTATATTTTTAGTAGAGACGGGGTTTCACCATGTTGACCAGGCTGGTCTCAAACTCCTGACCTTGTGATCTGCCCGCCCTCGTCTCCCAAAGTGCTGGGATTACAGGTGTGAGCCCAAGCCACAACTGGCTGATAAAATTTTAATGTTTTTATAATAGATCTGTGTATATTTTATGACAGTAAATGATAGAATGGATTAAGCTCATCTACATATATTTTCATGCATTCATGACGTACCTAACTTTTTCTTATTTTTTTTATATTTCTAGGCTATATGTTTTGCAAATTTTTTCAAATGGTCACAAATCTAAAAAACTTTCGCAATATATTTAATGAAAAAAAAAGGCCACATATAAGTGGATCTGTCTAGTTCAAAACCATGTTGTTCAATGAGTCCAACTGTATTGAGTTTTGTATCTGATTATGAGAGTGAAGTCGATGATGTTGAATAAGAGAATAAGTATCTCCAGAATGGTAACAGGAACTCTGGTAACTATTCAGGGCTTTGAGGTTCTAGTTCTTTTCTGGGATCAGAAACAAGGGACTTTTACTTAAATAAAAATGTGAGTATATGAAACCAGACTAAATACATTTAAGAATCTTTTCTGGTATCTCTTGTATAGGACAGCAAGACATTTCACTTTATTTTTTGTTTTGTTTTTTATTTTATTTTTATTTTATTTTTTTCTGAGACAGAGTCTTGCTGCAGTGCCCAGGCTGGAATGCAATGGTGTGATCTCAGCTACTGCAACCTCTGCTTCCCTGGGTTCAAGCGACTCTCCTGCCTCACCTCCCGAATAGCTGGGATTAACAGGCACATGCCACCACGCCCAGCTAATTTTTGTGTTTTTACTGCAGACGGGGTTTCACCATATTGGCCAGGCTGGTCTCGAACTCCTGACTCAGTGATCTGCCCACCTTGGCCTCCCAAAGTGCTGGGGTTACAGGCGTGAACCACTGTGCCGGCTGACATTTCACTTTATTTTTTAAGTTAAAGAAACATTTCAGCTGCCTTGCTGTCATTTTCAAAAGAAACCACTAGTTTGGTGTCCACAAAAATACTGGGAAAGCAATATACATCTAACCGAGTTGTTTTGGAGGTACCTATAGTGGATATTTTTCTTTTTCACCTCGCCCATCACTATATGGTTTCTTCTGGTAAAACGAAATCTTGATTTTCTTTTGGAGGATGAGCTCTCCCCTATTCTCTGTCTCCAATTTTTTTTTTTTTTTTTGAAATGGAGTTTTGGCTCTTGTTGCCCAGGCTGGAGTGCAATGGCACGATCTGGGCTCACCGCAACTCTGCCTCCTGGGTTCAAGCGATTCTCATGCCTCCCACCTCCTGAGTAGCTGGGATTACAGGCATGTGGCACCATGCCTGGCTGATTCATTCATTCCTTTCCTTCCTTCCTTCCTTCCTTCCTTCCTCTTCCTTCCTTCTCCTCCTCCCTCCCTCCTCCCCTCCCTTCCTTCCTTCCTTCCCACGAGGGTCTTGCTCTGTCGTCCAGGCTGGAGTGGCAGTGGCGCGATCTCGAGCTCACTGCAAGCTCCACCTTCTGGGGTCATGCCATTCTCCTGCCCTAGTTTCCCGAGCAGCTGGGACTACAGCGTCTGCCACCACGCCTGGCTAATTTTTTTTTGTTGTATTTTTTTAGTAGAGACAGGGTTTCCCGTGTTAGCCAGGATGGTCTCAATCTCCCTGACCTCATGATCCACCGCTGCGCCTCCGAAAGTGCTAGGATTACAGCGTGAGCCACGTGCCCCGGCCTAATGAGAACGGGGTTTCTTCCATGTTGGTCAGGCTGGTCTTTGAACTCCCCTGACCTTCAGGTGATCTGCCTGCCTGGCCTCGCCAAGTGCTGGGATTACAGTCATGAGCTACTAAGCCAGCCCTGTCTCTAGATTAAGGTATATGATTTGCCAATGAGACATAAACTTAAGATTTTATTGGAACTACTGGGAAATAAGTGCTCTGCTTATTTTGGAATGGTAGTATAAAGATGATATAAGTTGAACATTGGGGAAAGGTGGGGAGGTGGCAAGAAACACTATGTGAGAACAAACTCTTTGAATTCAACAAAGAGGAAATGAGAGATCATGTCCTGATGTCAATGTTTGCATTCGTGAATCTAGTCATATCTGAAGTTACCTATCTATGGATTTTTCAGTTATTAAGCCAAATATACTCCTTTTCTTAAATCAGTCTAAGTTTTTGACACTTGTAAGGAAAAGCCCTATGTATCATAGCACAAAATAATTTCATTTATTAAACATCACAAAAAGTCTAAAAATCCTCTTTCATATCTTTCTATACCTTGGTGTCACTCAGAATGTCAGCTGTGCTAAATCCCTAGTCTCACTCTCTCAAAACTCCCAGAAACCATCTCTCCTAAAGTCAGCTCATTCTAGGTCTTTTTTTCTTACGCCCTTACTCAAACTTTGCTGGTTGTCTTCCTTATCCCCACCCCATCCCACCTTCTCCAAAACAAAAAATCTAACTGAGCCTTGCAGATCAGCCTAGCCTTCTGAAGCTCCTTTTGCTTCTTTACCTCTACTCCTTATTGAGATCAGCACAATTAATGCTTGTTTGAACAACAAATGATCCTTTCTCTCTGGAAGGGTGAAAGTATGGAAATATTTACATGTTAAATGTTCTGTTCTAGTCTCATTTGTATTCAGTACAAATAGTGTGTTTGCTTGGACATTAATTTTATTTGCAAATAGCTACAGCTGGGGGTCCCTTTGGGTAAGTCTTGCTAAGATACTGCATTGGTGGGTTTTTTGTTTGTCTGTTCATTTTGTTTTTGTTTTGTTTTTTAAGGGGATGGGGAAGGAATCAAAGTAGTCAAATCAGTTTGGTTGTTTTTACAAGCCTGAGAAATGGTCAAATTCTGGATTCAGACCAAGCACACCATGCTAGAGGCAATTTAATGACCTCCCGCCCTCTTGCCTTTTTCCCCTCTTTGGGAACATTCTTGGATTTTCTACAGAAACAGCCAGAGGCTCCCAATTGACAATTGCCTCACTCAGCAGTTTCTTGTTAGCACATTTATCAGCCACTGTTCCCAGGACTCTCTTAAGTGTCCTAAGAATATTGACTCATTCAAAAGCAGCCCAGTTGTAGTTGGGAGAGCACCAGCACTTGCTCTATAAAGATCTAGATTGTCTCTCTACCTCAAGAGGAATCCAAAGTCCTATTATGCTGGACTCTCAAATGATCCCCAGCCCTTTGGTGCTCACACTGTTTATGAGCAGTCTGAATTTCATTCTTGGGTCTACCTAAACCGGCACTCTCGGGCTATGGGGCCCAGTGGGGAGACCACCTAACATGCTGGCTGCCTGGAGCCCAGGGAACTGTCAAGATGGCTCTGGAAGACTTCTCACCTTTTAAAAGCCCCATATTTCTTTTACATATCTTTTCGTCTTCATGAATTTTGCCAACCACAACGGACTAAAATCTATTATAGTGACCTGGAAAGGTGGGGAAAAGATGAGATAGTTGAATAGAGTTTAATGAAGGGACTATTTAAAAAGGTGTGGATGGGGTTAAAGGAAACCTCTGGGCGTCATTACCCACCCCAGGCCTGAAGCGGCAAGGGTAGTTAGTGGTAACCAGAACCTGGAGGAAACTGCAGGAGAGGGCCACAGGATGGGAGTAATGGCTTTCAGATGAAGAACATAGCCACTGCTAACAGGGTGGCCCGCTGGGGATGCAGGGGAGGTCCTGAATCACATTCTGCCTTCAGATCTGCTGGTGCCTCCCACTTGCCAAAACCAATTGAAAGCCAGATTATAGTTGACGTAGCCCATAAAGGTCAGTCCTGAGTCACAGAGTGGAGTGGACAGTGGGTCTGAAGGGACAGAGGAAAAAGCAACAGGCAACTCCTGTTTTTTCCTCAGAGTCAGCACCTTGGTTCAGCCCTCACCCTTTCTTGCCTGTTCCCTGGACCCATCAAATCCACTGCTTTTGATGACCAGTCTGTTTCCAAGAGGCTATATTCATTCCACCTGGGACTGCGGCATATGGACCTGGGTAGAAGAACCAGGTGTGCAGTGTCAAGACCCTTCCTTCAGAGACCTCATCAGTAAAATGTCGGGTGGACTCGGGATGCCCGAAGACTTTTCCGGACCAGGATTTTCCGATGCTGGACACATGTTTAAACATCAAGGAATCGACTTGCGACTTTTAAGCACAAACAATGGGTGGAAATGGACAGAAACTGCCTCCCTGCCCACTTGCAGCGGACTACATAGCCCTGGCAGGCAATTTCTTCAAACAGGCGCCCTCCAAGGGCGTAAGCTAGAGGGGCCCGGGCAGGCGCTTTCCCGTACTTTGACCCTCCCACCTCGCGGGTAGAGGAAGTCCTTCAGTTCAGTCACAACCCTCGGCGCCCCCGGCAGTCTCCGACTCCGGCGCGAGTCAGGTTGTGGGGCCGGGAGGGGGTGGTGGCGGCGGAGAGCGCAGGCGCAGAGTCTGCGCCGGCGGCGCCCCTCTCTCTCCGCACCCCTCCGGGCAGCGCCCGCTTTGATTTTCTCAGGCGAGTGCACGCCCGCCTCAGTCGCCTCTGGGGGCACCTTCCTCGCCGCGACACGCAGGTAACCGGGCCCCGGGAGCCGGTCGGCGGCGGCGGACTGGGACCTTGACCCTGCCTGCCCGGCCGCCCCACAGGGGAATGAGAGCGGACCCCGAACTCCACACACCCGCGTTTAGCCGCCACACCTAAGGGGCAGAACAGTCTTTTTGGGTAAGGGCCGGGTTGGAGGCGACGCGCCCCGCCCGCTTTGCAGACCTCGGGGTGCTCTGCACGACGCCTGAAAGGCCGCGGGGCTCGCATTTCTCTGCGCTCACCTCCTGGAGAACCGGGACACGGGGACGGCAGGGCCAGCATCGGCTACGGCCCGGTTTCCCGTTTCTTTCCGCTGTCGCGTGTCTGGGCCCTCCTGCAGCGTCCATGATGAAAGCCAGGGGCTGTTGCTTTCCTCTCGCCCAGTAGCCCACCCAAGCAAGGGGTGAGTCCCTGTGGCGTCATGGAATCAATTTCAAATACAAGTTTTAAAAAAGGCTGGATGATTTTAGAAATATGGTCAAGAATGTGTATTTTCCATTACTCTCTTGTCTCATGTCCATGACTCTTGAACGCCAGTCTATGGGCGCTGAGATTTTCGTGGTACATCGACAGTTTGTAGAAATATTTTCCCAAGGGAAGACGAGGGCAAGGGTTAGTGGAGGAAGGGCCTGGTCATGGCCGAGAGTGGCGGAGGAGGCTCAGGGCAAGTCAGCTCAGCCTCCAGCAGCCACGGGGAGGAAAAGGCGAATCTTTCCTGACGGTGCTCTGGGCGCTGTAGAATTTCTACGCGACGTGCACCCGTTTGGCCTCATTTGAGAGGAGGAGAGGGAAAAAGGGTCGCGTGGACCGGCAGGAAGTCGTGTTGCGGCGTATGAGGGCTCAGCGCGGATTTCCATCTCGGGCCAGGTTTTCTCCCGGCTCCGCGAGGAGCGAGGCGTAAAGCTCGCGGCCGAGTGACGATCAAGGGCGCGGAGATAGTAACGCCCAGGGTCCAGAGGGCTGGGGGTAGCTCCCGAGGAGCGATCTTCCTCCGCGAGAAAGGACTTGGATCAGGCTTGCCTGTGTCCGTGGTGCTGAAGTGCCTCGCGCGCCCTGGTCGACTGACTTCCTGGGCGGCGGCCTGCGTTGCCCTTCTACTCTGCACCTTTGCCAAAAATAGCCCATCTCCACGGCAGGTGGCCAGAGTGGAGCAGGCCCAACACTGAAACCCTTTTCAGACAAGTTGAGGCTGGTTTCCTGAACATAACATGAAAGCAAATTGTGGCTTGCCTTGGAGGTACAGATAAGCATATGCATAACAGATTTTATTACCTATGAGAAAGTACACACCATGAGCATAAACAGGAATTCTCACATATACTTAGGAAAGATACAGGGATGTGTATTTACACACAAACCTAACACACATGCAAATACACTCATCCCCTTTGAAAACCATCATACACTACGAGCCACACATTTTTTAGAGCTTTTGTAATCCATCTTTATTTTTTGACACTTCTAGTAAATGTGAACTCTGCAGCACCATTTATTTTCATAATCATCTGTTCCAAAGGCACAGAGCCTGTGGATTGAAGTGTTTGGTATTTGGCTGAGCGATTAAGTATTTACACTTATTTAAATTCCAGAACAAAGTCTAGGAAGATGTAAAATTGATAGTGATAGCAAAAAAATTCCTTAAAGCTTAAGGAAAATGAATTAATGTAAATTTTAATAAGAACAACATATAAATCTTATAGAAATTTATAATCTGAAGAACATATGACTAAAATGTATCATAATGCAGACAATTTTAAATATATTGGTGGTATGTGGTTTGTGAAGTTCTTAAAGTTTACATTTGTATTTTTCAAAAACATTGGTATTGTTTTTTCTCAAAAAAATATATGCTCATTTTAAGAAATTTAGGTAATAGAGAAATGCATAAACATAGAAAACCATTGTAAGCAGATTTTCATTTAGATGAACATACATACATTTTAAATGGACCAATCCTCTATTGGTTGCATTTTTGCTATATAATTTATAATTAATGTCTTTCAAACCAATACATATAAAACTAGGTCATCATTAACAGTTGCATAATATTGATCTGTGTGGACAGAATGTAAGTAATTTAAACAATCCCATAATAATGAACATTTACGTCCAGTTTTTTGGACTTTAAAACAATTATTGTGGAAAGAATATGTAACATGAGATCTGTCCTCTGAACAAAAAAATTTTTTCTTTTTTTTTGAGACATCGTCTTACTTGTTGCCCAGGCTGGAGTACAGTGGTGTGATCTCCGCTCATTGCAACCTCTGCCTCCCGGGTTCAAGGGATTCTCCTGCCTCAGCCTCTGGAGCAGCTGGCCACCACACCCAGCTAGTTTTTGTATTTTTAGTAGAGACAGGGTTTTACCATGTTGGCCAGGCTGGCCTTGAACTCCTGTCCTCAGGTGATCTGCCTGCCTCGGCCTCCCAAAGTGCCAGGATTACAGGTGTGTGCCACTGCACCTGGGCCTATCTTTTTAATAAAATTTTAAGTGTATAATACATCATTGTTGATATATATTGTTGATAGATGCGATGCTGTATAGCAGATCTTTAGAGCTTATGCGTCTTGCTTAACTGAGTCTTTATGCCTGTTGATTAGTAACTCCTGATTTTCCCCTGGCCTCCAGTCCCTGGAAACCACCATTCTACTCCTTGATTCTATGACTTGTGACTACTTCATTTTAATTTTAATTTTAATTTTTAATTTTTGTGGGTACATAGGTATATGTATTTATGGGGTACATGAGATACTTTGATATAGAGATGCAACATGTTTAATAATCACATAATGGTAAATGGGGTATCCATCCCCTCGAGCATGTATCCTTTGTTTTTATAAACAATCCAATTATAATGATTTAAAAATGTACAATTAAATTATTATTGACTATAGTCATCCTGTTGTGCTATCAAATACTAGGTCTTATTCATTCTTTCTACTTTTTGTATCCATTAACGATCCCCAGTTTTCCCCACACCCCCAACCCTCTCCCACTACCCTTGCCAGCTCTGGTAACCACCATCCTTCTACTCTTTTTTCTGTTTTTTTTTTTTTTTTTTGGAAATTGAGTCTTGCTCTTGTTACCTAGGCTGGAAGCTGGAGTGCAGTGGCATGATCTCGGCTCACTGCAACCTCTGCCTTCTGGGTTCAAGCGATTCTCCTGCCTTAGCCTCCCAAGTAGCTGGGCTTACGGGCACCTGCCACCATACCTGGCTAATTTTTGTATTTTTAGTAGAGATGGGGTTTTACCATGTTGGCCAGACTGGTCTTGAACTCCTGACCTCAGGTGATCCGGCTGCCTCAGCCTCCCAAAGTGCTGGGATTACAGGTGTGAGCCACTGCGCCCAGCCTACTCTCTATCTCCATGAATTCAATTGTTTTGATTTTTAGATCCCACAGATAAGTGAAAACACGTGAAATTTGTCTTTCTGTGCCTGGCTTATTTCACTTAACATGATGACCTTCGGTTCCATCTATGTTGTTGCACATAACAGGATCTCATTCTTTTTTATGCCTAAATAATACTCCATTGTATATAAGTACTTGTTGATGAACACTCAGGTTGCTTCCAAATCTTGGCTATTGTGAACAGTACTGCAACAAACATGGGAATGCAGATAACTCTTCGATATACTGATTTCCTTTCTTTTGGTTATATATCCAGCAGTGGGATTGCTGGATTGTATGGTTGCTCTATTTTTAGTTTTTTGAGGCACCTCCAAACTGTTCTTCATAGTAGTTGTACTAATTAATATTCTCACCAACAATGTGTGAGAGTTCCCTTTCTCCACATCCTTGCCAGCATTTATTATTGCCTGGATTTTGGATAAAAGCCATTTTTACTGGAGTGAGATGATATCTCATTGTAGTTTTGATTTGCATTTCTCTGATGATCAATGATGTTGAGCACCTTTTCATGTTTGCTATTTGTATGTCTTCTTTTGAGAAATGTCTATTCAGATCTTTTGCCACTTAAAAATTGGATTATTAGATTTGTTCTGATAGTTATTTACCATTCCTTATATATTCCGGTTATTAATCCCTTGTCAGATGGGTAGTTTGCAAATATTTTCTCCCATTCTGTGGGTTGTCTTTTCACTTTGTTGACTGTTTCCTTTGCTGTGCAGAAGCTTTTAAACTTGATGTGACCCCATTTATTCATTTTTGCTTTGGTTGGCTGTGCTGGTGGGGCATTACTCAAGAAATTTTTGCCCAGAACAATGTCCTGGAGAGTTTTCCCAAGTTTTCTTGTAGTAGTTTTGTAGTTTGAAGACTTATATTTAAGACATTATTCCGTTTTTATTTGATTTTTCTTTTTCTTTTTTTTTTTTTTTCTTTGAGGTGGAATCTCCCTCTGTCGCCCAGGCTGGAGTGCAGTGAGTGCCGTGGCTCAATCTCTGCTCACTGCAACTGCCGCCTTCCAGGTTCAAGTGATTCTCCTTCCTCAGCCTCCTGAGTAGCTGGGATTACAGGCATGTGCCACCACGCCCAGCTAATTTTTTTTTGTATTTTTAGTAGAGATGGGGTTTCAGCATGTTAGTCAGGCTGGTCTCGAACTCCTGGCCTTGTGATCCACCCACCTCAGCCTCCAAAAGTGCTGGGATTACAGGCTGATTTGGTTTTTCTATGTGGTGAGTGATAGGGGTCTAATTTCATTATTCTGCATATGGTTATTGTTTTCCCAGTATCATTTATTGAAGAGACTGTCCTTTCTCCAGTGTATGTCCCCGGCACCTTTGTGGAAAATGAGTTTACTATAGCTGTATGGATTTGTTTCTGGATTCTCTATTCTGTTTCATGGGTCTATGTATCTGTTTTTATGCCAGTACCATGCAGTTTTGGTTACTATAGCTCTGTAGTATAATTTGAAGTCAGGTAATGTGATTCTTCCAGTTTTGTTCTTTTTGTTCAGGATAACTTTGGCTATTCTGGGTCTTTTGTGGTTCCATATAAATTTTAAGATTTTTTTTTTTTCTATTTCTGTGAAGAATGTCATTGCTATTTTAACAGGAATTTCATTGAATCTATAGATTGCTTTGGGTAATTTGGACAGTTTAACAATATTGATTCTTCCAGTCCATGAACATGAAATATTTTTCCATTTTTTGGTGTCCTTTTAAATTTCTGTCACAAATGTTTTATAGTTTTCTTTGTAGAGATCTTTCACATCTTTGGTTAATTCTTAGGTGTTTAAGTTGATTTGTGGGTATTGTAAATGGGTTACTTTTTTGATTTCCTTTTCAGATTGTTCACTTTTGGCATATAGAAATGCTGCTGACTTTTGTATGTTGATTTTGTATCCTGCAACTTTACTGAATTTGTTTATCTGTAAATAATAGTTTACTGATAAATTCTAAAGTTCTAACAGTTTTTTGGCGGAGTCTTTAGGTTTTTCCAAATATA